GATTCTTGAAGCATTCTGTATGTATTAAGGATGAGCGTGTATTTCGCGAACAGCACTGATAAGCCGGTTACTAATTATTTATGTCAGGAGCAACTAGACGTTATAATTTCCTGTAGAGCAACAAACACCGATCGTAATTTCTGATTGGCCGAGTTAGCTCTTTTATATTCTGTTTACTCTATCTATATGAATGTTTTTCTACGATGTGTTACATTGAATAAAATACTATATATAATTATATTTAAGACATTATCAATCATTTAACAAATTTAACTCTCGAATTGATCGAGATCTTTGTACACGAAATCAAATTATTCACATCTCCAACAATAATACTCGTAATAAATGTAAAGAATATATATTTATGTGTGTGTTCTTAAATTATTCTAAGCATCCATTTGTAGCATCAATTAAAAAATTGCAAAAAAAATTATAAGACAATAGCTCATTTTATCTTTGCGTATTAAAAATAACAAAAGGTAATAAAACGGCACAAGATGTTCTATCTACTTTTATGAATAGAAATTACTATTTCACAACGTAAATGTTGAGGATTGATGTGTCCTCATATCCATAAGGAAGCATTACGTAAGGAAGAATTTTCTGAGTAATTGAGAATTTTCGTCTATTCGATGATGCACGATGTTATAATAACGATTCCGGTACTGCAGGAAACTGTAAGCAAATATTGGTGGAATGTGTAGAAAGATGCACCTTTAGAATTTTCAATTCAGTCACGGATAACCCATCGTTACCTTCAAGTCGCGCTTATCGCGTTAACGAGACGGTTTATTAAGTAGAGTAGAACGGAATTACGGTAACGCGGACACCTAGTCCTCCGTTATCTAAAATAAAGGCTATAAACCGCATAAACTGCCCACGAGCCTCTTGTCTCTTTTTTTTAATTTTTTCTTCATACTTTATTTACAATATTTAATTGTTAATATTTCTCAACACTATGAGTATGGTATTTCTATTTCATTTAACGTCTCCATAATTGAGGCTATAAAAAAGAATTTTTTTTTCTTTAATAATCAATTTTTTATAATCATCTGGTTTATTTTGAAATGGCAAACGAGACCATCTCTCGAGTTTTTGTTGAAAATTTTTTATCACAAAACATTAAATCCTATATTCTCAATGAAACGAACTTAATTAATTCATTTGGCGCTTTTCACTTGCGAGAGATTAACCGAAAATGTGCGTATAATCTCGATATATTGTACATTTCCTTAAAAGTCGTTTTATGTAAGATGATAAGAATCGATTAGATCGTCGAATATCATCAGCCGTGCTCGGCAAAGCGAATCGGCTTTTACACATATTGAAATTTTACGTGATATGATATAATTTTCCAACATTTATGATAATACAGCATTTTTATGGTAAAAGCAATTACAATGCATTAATTTTTTCGTTGTTGAAATAGTTAAAAGAATTTAAAAAAGAATCAATAAATATGTAACTATAATATCTTTTTTCTTAACTATTTTATATATGAATGTGAGCGGTATAACATTATACGATACGTTAATTGTTGTTTCATTAATATCGCCGAAAGCGTGTAAATCTTAAGTTTATAAATGGATGTGTTTGTATTTTTAAGTCGCGTGTAAGTCATAATGACTTTTTGCGCAACGATTAGTTCTGCAAGATGACAAATGCAGGCTAGATTGTAAAGATTCTGATGAGAATTATGTTTATACGAGCGTTATAGATGTATAGCGTGTTCCAGAATTAGCATTCTCTTTCTTAATTAATTGAATATTTGGAATTAATATATTTCTTTCTTAATTAATTGAACTTGAATCTGAATAACTTTTTTTGTTTCTAATGGAAAATGATTGGATGTTCTTTTAACTCCTATTTATCTTTTACTGTTAAAGGAATATACGTTAACAAACTAAAGCTCAGTAAAAAATTATGTTAGAACAATGTTAAATTGATAAATTAAAAAATAGCATTTTTTTGTTACATCGATGCAGAGATTCCGTAAACTCTTTGATTATTCATATATACGAAACTTTTCATTGGCAATAACGCTTAGCTTTAAATTTCTACAGAGAAAAATAAAAATCTAATAAATTATTAATAATTATAATAACATAAGTATAAAAACATATCGCACGATAAAGCATTGGACTCCATCTAGCTTAAGCTACGTGCTAATTTAAAGTTTCTAATCGCAACTTCTACATATGATTTATAAGTCACTACTACATCACGTGTTTATATCGTGTTCTTTGTATTCCACTTTCAAGTAAAATTTTAAAAAAGGAGGAAGAGAAAGATGAACGGACGTTAAAAAATCGTATCTTCACCAGCGTCGAGAACAGTTTCAATTCCGATCACAGATACAATCACGATCATTGTCGATGTATTCGCGATCATGTTAAAGTGGGTATATTATTGCCCGTTACCGAAGAATCGCGCGATCGCTCTCTCGGACGCAAAGGTGATAGTTCCGAGTGAGACTACGAGGGACGAGAAGGACGAAAAAAGGATATACGAGAGAAGAAAATACGCTGAAACAGGAAATTCGCTAAATACGCGAAACGTGAAAATCGCCACACCAGATGCTATCATGAGGAGATACTTCCGGTTTGGGGTAAGGAACAAAGGAAGTCGGACTCGACAGTCGGCTACACACGGCGATCGTGAACTTCTTCCGATGTATATACATAATTCGCGGCCGTGTTCTCTACCCTTTTCTTCGTACTTTGACACCTGTTATAATTACACCTGGGTATAATTACACATTTATTAGCATTTCTTTCCGATTCAAGTTTATTTCTTATATTATTTTAATTAGAACGAAGGAATAAATTGCCTATCGATAACTTCTGCATTCATTAATTCCGTATAATATCCAAATAAGATACAATAATTTCCAATAGCAATGAGCGATAATATTATAACATAATATTTTGCGCAAGAAATTTTAATTAATTAATTTTAATTAATTAAAGTATGATATATGTGTTTATTTTGTGTTTATTTTGCTTCAAGTGACTTTGATATCGTTGAGTATCAAATATCATCTTAATCATTATCAGATACAATTAGAAAATTTGTATTAAATTTAACACAACTCATATTTTCCAAATGGTCAATCTAAATTTGTATGCTTAACACACAAGATGAATATATTAGAAAGTATATTAGAAAATACAAATATTATGTAAAAAATTAACACTAAATTACAATTAATATTACTGATTCGCTGCATTAAAACGTCTCATAATATGATGTCTTACAGCAATCTTTAAGACATCTTCAAGACGTTTTATGTTCGCATTTTGGACGTAATGTTGTGGACGTAAAATTCTGGAAATATTTTGACTTAATTTAGAAGCAAATCAGTAATGTTAATTATACTATGTTAAAATTAATTTATAATATATTGAATTAACACGTACATTTTATTCATTTATCCTAAACTTTATGTTTTAAAACTTTTTTTATTATTTGTTTATTTACTCATAAATTGTATTATTTCCATATAATAATAAAAATAATAAAAGAAGGATCAGCTTTTCTATATATTAAAAATGCTTCGGAAATGGTACCTTTAGTACCATCATCAAAAAGAATTTTTGATTGAAAAAATATAGAATATTAAATAAACTAAATATTTTTATAAAGAGATATAAAGAACAGAGATTCGATTGAATGTAATAATAAAACTTAAATCAAGACATCTCAGGTTATTACAAAGTACTCTGTTATTAAAAATCATATGCTAGAATTTAATACGTTGTATTAATAGATGTGAAAATACTTGATACTTGAACAAAATTATTATAAAAAACTAATATCGAAGATGATTCACTTCAAAGCTTTTAAAAAAAAAAGAGAATTAACTCGAATGAGAATACGATTCTTTTAGATGAATCACATTTTAATATACGAGTACTTGATAGGATTTGTAATAATGATTATTGATTGTTTATGAAGTAATCGTAACGTTTGACCTTTATTATTCGTCACAGTTAAACGTTAGTTGTCATTTTATTCTCAACCGTCATCTTTATTGTAAATGTGCTCTCTTTTTTATTCTTGTTCATGCAGTCAGTTCTTCTAACTGTTTTGCGACTTACAATTTGTTTCTTATTAGAGAATTGTGCATAATCAATGGGAAATTATAATGAGGAGAATTATTACGAGATTACATCTTGATTTACTCTGAAATAATATTTTTTGCAATAAGTTCTTTACAGTTTTTTCTAATTTAATTTAGGGGGAATTTAAGAGGGAGTAGTAGCGTTTCAGACTGATTGTATTGAAAATGTCCGAAAGTTATTGGCGCGTAATATCTAAAATAAATTTATTCAATAAAGAATACATATCGTATTATTCAAAACATCTAACTTTAACCGAAATGATGATTGTTCTCTGTCGTATTTGATGTATCTTGATTTACTTGATCTTCCAATACGCACTAATAGCTTTTAATAAAGTGAGGATATCAAGAGAGCAATTATCATTTTTGTTGAAATTGTTAATTACAATGCAATGTGGATTAATTAAAGTCCTCATGCCAGTCCTCATGGACATAATTATTATATTGGCATGACTCTATCAATTTTATTTTTGTTGACGTTTAATTTTTGACTATGTTAAAATTTATATTTTTGTAAATCTAAAACAGCTAATGAAAACTTTGTAAATTGAACTAAGTATAGTTTCCCGTTAATTTTTATTGTATTAAATTTAATTAATATTACTTAACATTTATTGTTGTTAGCTCGTCTTTGAATATTTTCTAAATAGAATTTATACTGTAAGAAAATTTTATCGCCTTATTTCCACTCATATTATGGCTATAATCCGAAAAGAGGATAGACAATAATTGTTAACCAGAATTAGTTGATCAACATGGTTAGCGGAACTGGTCTTTATCGTTGCAGCAATCTTTGCGGATTCGGGATTATAGTATGATTATGAGTCATACATGATACGTTGGAAACATCGCTAACTATGCGTTTCATGGTTCGCAGGGTTCGGATCCGAGGGTAGCGACCTGTAGAGGAAAGCTGCAGAACAAGCGAAGTAAGCTCAATCAAGAGATCAACAAGGAGCTACGGTTGCGAGCGGGCGCTGAGAATCTTTTTAAGTAAGCCGTGTAATTTATCATTACTTTATTAATTAATATAATATAATCACTTTATTGGTGAATATACAATATATGTAATTTATATGTATACATTTATACATAATTTATATACAAGGTGTCTCAGACATTGCGTGATACCTGTTAATAGCAAATTCTTAAGAGCATTTCGAGACGAAAATCCTAATATTAAAATGTCAAGACTGTGTGTAGTTCTTAAATGAGAAGAGTTCAAAGTTGATTAATTGAATTATCCGTCATTCTCGTTCATCGATTGTGTCATGTCATCCTTGTTTAATGGTTGGTAAACAACAAGGATGACATAACATCCGGAGAGTACCCAGGTGGAAATCCGAACATGCCCCAGCTAGAATATGATAGTGACAAATCTATGCCATTTATTCGCCCTTGATTTCCATTTGTATAACTTGATTTTGTTTTATATATGTACAAATAACGAATATGACAAGTAATTATATATTAATATATATATAATTAATAATGTCATCTTATATTAATTTTTAACGCATTGAAAATGTAAATTTTGTAAACAAAGTTCTATATTATACTCTTTTATATTTACCTTAATTTTGCAATATCCATTTAATATCTTTGTCGCGTCGCACAAGATTTCTTGATTTCACCTTTCGAAATTTTTGAGTGTTTCCGCAAACCATCGAAACAAATATCACGACAGTGTCCGCGACTGTACGTATGACTTTTACATAACTTAGCATGTACATATTACATGCTAAATTCGGGTACAAAGTATTAGCTTGTCTGCAAGTATTAACATTCCTTTCATATTAAAAAACTTATTAAAACAGTATGAACGAAAAATTGGACCAGCATTAGAGAAACCTACTAAAGAAAGCTGCAAGAGAGCTGCAAAAAAGGAGTGAATGCTCATTATATAAAATGTTAATAAACTGTGCGATGAATTATAAAACTTTTTTTATATTGACATTTTAATGCGATTTTGACATTTTCCATAAAAACATAAGTACTAATGCGTTTGTTTTAAAAAGAATGTATTATTTGTTTGTAAAAGCTAGCGTAATAATAATATATATTTATTATAATAATAAAGTACTTAATATAATATTATACTTCATAATATACTTCCTTTCTTCTAATAATAAATATAAATATAAATAATGAATTGAATGTATGCGATATATAATTTTTGTATAATTATTTTTTAAGCAATATATGAATATATGGGAAAAAATACAAGAAAAAGTTCAATTTACAATGAGGTCTACTACAATATATAATTTCAATTTCAAGAAATTCTGACTGTTTTCGCTAGTGTACTACCTTAACATATACAAGGAGAGAATTTTTTCTTAGAATTACCCTGAAAATATGATAGTCGTGGGACAACATTGTAATTCGAAAAATTTTAATGTAAATCTCTCATTCATTAACAAAACTACAATAACGTATAAAATAAGTTTGATTAATTTTACTGAAGTGCATAGTAAAAATTTTTGTAATATTCTATTGTACCACAACTACCATATTTTCATGGTAAATTAAAAAAAAATTCTCTCCGTGTAGTTGCATTTGTTTTAGTTTTTATTAATCACATTACAGGGCGACGACCAACAGAAAATTGAAAGAGACCGTCGCATTGGAGTTAAGCTTTGTCAACTCGAATCTGCAGTTATTGAAGGAACAGCTTGCTGAGTTGAACAGTTCAGTGGAATTGTATCAAAATGTCGATGGGTAAATTCGAAGAAAATTACGAATTTTTCTGATATGTGATGAAAATATACGATATTGAACGGTATTGTTTTTCAGCGCTGAGCCTGTTATGCCGATGATACCATTGGGACTCAAAGAGACCAAAGACATTGATTTTCGGGATCCGTTTAAAGTAAGTTTCAAATCAACGCGATGATCAATTTGAATCATATTTATGTGATTTTTTTATTCATGTCCGTTTATTCGAGAGGTGGTACGTCTGAATTGTCCTCGAAATCTTCGAGATTCTTTTTTTCTTTCTTCTGTGTTTGTTTCGCGGAATCTTCGGTTATCTTCAGAAAATTGTGAACGACCGTAGGTGGACCGATCTCGAGAAGAGCTCGTCGAGAAGTCACCGGTGGCCGAACTGTGATCACCTTTGTTTTAGATTCGCTAGATTTCTTCTTTATTGTCGATTCGTCCTTCCTGACGATTGTTGTGCACGGAGTCAATCGGGCCATAGCAATCACTAAATTGCCAGTGGTCGTATTCCGTTGGACGTTACTTTTATCAACCGATACCTCGCAAGGTAGGGTCAGCTGCAGAATCTTTCCTTTTATAGTGACTCGCACGTAAGTCGGATTTATGTCGACGTCAATGTAAGAGGTGTCCAAATGCCTTCATATATAAAAAAGTGCAATAATGATATGATTAATATATATATATATATATACATATACACATTAATATATATTAATAATATACGTTTAATAAATTTTGAAAATCTTCAAAATCTCTATACCGTAGAAAATATCGAGGATAGATATTAGAAGAAGCAAATTGTTACAGTTGGTTCTTTTAGTTACCAAAGAAAACAATACATGTTTATAAATATTTACATAAGCATAACTTGACATTTTACTATTTTACTTAGTTTGTTGGTCATAAATTATATTGTAAAATACTGTCTGTTTATGTGATTTTTGCTGTTGAAAGTAAATATTTCATTCTGTGAATTAGTTGTTTTATTGGATACATAAGCTGTAGGTTATTATTTCTTTTGCATATTTCTTCTATGTATATTTAGTATATTTTATAATAACAATAACATATATTTGAATTGATGTATATACTAGTTTTTATTTGTATTTTCTCGAATGAAGAGTTAAGCGTTAGTTATAGTTTGATCGAGAAAGAGTGTACAATGTAAGAATTTATGTTTAAAATTGATAAATTAATTATTTCTTTCTTTTAGTGATTGAGATAGATAGATATTAATTTAAGACAAATCTGTATTAATATTTTTATAAATTTTAGTTTTATATTCTAAAATAAATATTTTGTATAAAGTATTTTATGTTTGATTTTATCATAATCTTGAATTTGTTCTTATGTATACATGTTTGAGGTAATTGTAACTATGACAATTTGTCTCATTTTATTATCAATAACAACTTGTCTCATAAACAGAGTTTACTAATGCAGTTTTACTAATGGAAAATTTTAATTTTAAATATTTAAAAACATAATTTTGATACAAAATAAAATATAGACTATTTAGTTAAAGATGTATTGGATCAATACTTATATAAATATATTCGTTAATTTAAATATATACATTAGTCCATAAAAAGATCCTAATAAAAAATTGTAACAAATAGTTCCAGATTTTCTCTATCATGTAATTGCATTAATCAATGATTACCTATAAACGGAAACTTCAAGAACAACAAAATCGGGATTGCTTTCATCGTTTAATCTGAATGGCACTTTTGCCTGATTCATATTGTATGCTCTTCCGTCTGGAGCAAATAATTTCAGCACACGTTTTGAATGATTACTCGTATCCGAAATACGATGCTTTTCCTCTTGTTTTTTCATAAATCGTTCAGCGATAACGACTCTATCTTCTGGCGTATGATAACTAGGCTGCTTCCAGAAACGTTCATTTTCTGGCTCGTCATCCTGCTCTGTATTCATATTTTCGCTTTGCTCGTTCTTTGTATGTTCCGCTTGCTCCTCTGTAATATTCTAAGGAAAATATTATACGCTCGTCTTTGTATTTTTCATGCGTAAATGAATCTACGACATAACTGTTTACATGCTTAGCAAACTGCAGATAATTTAAAAGACACTTATGCATAATGGCGATAGCAATACTGAAAATAACCATTTATTTGATTACCATTTGATTGATTGTTTCAGCATTACGATGAATGCGTTGAGCTATCCTAGTTTTCTCGTAATGCCGATAGCTCTCAATAACATCATCTTGCGCTCGCGAATAGATCTGCAATGCCTTGATACGTTCCGACCTTTCAATCTCCTGCATGTCAAACTCTTGCAATTGCGGTAAAGTCGCCACAACATATTGTCTATAGTATTCGTAATCCGTGCACGGATTTCCCATTAAAATTAATTGCTCCAAATGCTCATTATACCTATGTAAAACATGAACCACAGTTTAGAGAGAATCGAAAGGGATTTATAATTCTATTAAAATTATATAAATAATAGTGAAAATTATATCAATTAATGCACAATTGATCAAAGTTTAACTTTGACTGATCTTGATTGTTGGACCTTGACTAATTAATCGGATAAATTATTTGATACATTTCTTAACTAATGAATTTTATGATATCAATAATGAGAAATATATATTATATTATCTACATATAATTTATACATCCTAATAATTATGTAATATCATATAATATAGGGCAATAAATTCTTTAATTCATCGATTGATCAATCACATTGTGTGCAAACATAATTTTATTCCGTAAAAGCTGCATTTGCTGCATAATGCGATTGATCAATTGATGAATTAGAAAACGTCTAATATTTATAAAGAAAAATACCTGAGACTTTTTACACTTTGTAAATTTCCAATAAAATTGAGGGTGAGGTCTAACTTCTTTAAACTCTCTAAACCCTCCAGATTTTCAATAACTTCGATGTTATTGAGGGCCAGGTTTAAATATTCCAGCCTCTTCAACATATTCAGATTCTCTATCTTCGATATGAGATTATTCTGCAACAAGAGGATCTTAAGATATCTGCAGTGTCTATCTATCAGTTGAATTTTATCAATATTCTCTTGGTGCAAAGCTATTTCTTCCAACGTCGATATTTCGCCCTCATTATGCTCCGAACGTTTCCGTATTAATTCAAAAGTGATTTTTACCATTTTTATCTTGAATTAGCTTCTAACTTTAACGCACTTTATCGAGAATCACGGAGGAAAATCGCAAATATTGTGAATAGAAATATCCGAGCATGCATTAACCAAGAAAGCTTCGTAGTTGCTATGAGGATATCGATTTAACATTGTCAATCATGTTTTCTGATTCCACGTGCTACGTGCCACGTGTCACGAATTATTATTGATCACCTCGCATGAACGATCTTTTATTATTTATTTTCTCTCTTGTAGGATTTCATCTTGGAGCATTATAGCGAAGATGGGGAAAACTATGAAGAAGCTATAGCTGACTTGATGGAAACCAGACAGGTAAGCAAATAATGCATGTCTTTTCTCCATATTATTCCATAATAGTAATAATTTCTACAGAATTTACAAGAAATATACAATTTTTTCTTATTTACATATTTCAGAAATTTTCTATGGAGAACTTTGCATAGATTATCCAATTGCTTTTTTTTTTGTTATAAACTATCATAATTTTCGATGATTTGAATATTATTCCAAATATACATAATTTAAGTTAACAAAAGAGACAATATAATACGAATGTAGACTGATGAAAATAAATCTAATTAAATATGAAAATTCCTATATTTTGCACATTATGCGCCAAATGTTTTTCGGTCTTGAAACGCCATCATAAGCAGAGTAGTAATCACTTTATTAAATTTACAAGCAATTTAATAATTTTTTTGATGCTAATAAGCATCTTTATAAGAATATTAATAATCCGATAATAATCTGACTAATCAACAGGAATTTTAGAATCTGCAATAATTTATTGCAAAAAATAACTTCGGTTGAATTAGTATAACGCTCGTCCCGGAAAGTTAAGAGTTTCAGTTTTAAACCTTAGCTGAGGCAATATTTACATCATATTAACATCTGATTATTAATATTCTTAAAAAGATATTATTAGGATAAAAAAGATTATTAAATTGCTTGCCAAATAAAGTGATATTACTATTCTGATTCTGCTCATGATGGTGTTTCAAGACCGAAATAGATTTCGGTGCGCAATATGCAGAATTATAATAGATATATGTATATAAATTCATATAAGAAATATTTAAGCACTAAGATCCTGCTTTGACCGATTATAAAGAGAAACTTTATATAAATAAATATTTTATTATTTTATTCGCAGGCTACAAGGACACCGACCAGAGATTCAGCAGGCATTGCGTTACTCCTGCGTTATTATAATCAGCTTTATTTCATAGAGAGACGTTTCTTTCCACCTGATAGAAGTCTTGGCATCTATTTTGAATGGTTTGATTCGTTGACAGGAGTGCCGAGTTGTCAACGAACAGTTGCCTTCGAAAAGGCATCCATTCTTTTTAATGCCGGTGCACTTTATACGCAACTGGCTGCCAAGCAGGATCGTCTGACCGCTCGAGGACTTGACCAAGCAGTCGACGCTTTTCTCAGAGCGGCTGGCACCTTTCGGTATATCCATGAGAATTTCACAAATGCACCAAGTATGGATTTGGGCCCAGATATGCTGGAGATGCTGGTACAGTTGATGCTTGTAAGTTCTCGCTTTAGTCTTATAATTTGTTTTGATAATTGTTTAAATAAAAAGAACTATTCTATACACATAATCAGGGCCGTTTAAGCCAGAATACAACGGTAACGCATCTTTGCAGCCGACGACATGTTTTTACAAAAATAATCGTACATCCGTGCGCGCGGCGATTTTCATGATTATAGCTGTGATAGTATTCATTTGGATTTAGTGAAGGTTGATATGAATTATTTAGATCGATAGAAAAGGGAGGTAGAACGCTCTGCAATAAATCTTTGAAACGGCGCTGCTTATAATTAGTGATCCCTTAATATTTGTTAATATTATGTATTACATAATATTACTATATATTAATGATTAATTCATATCGCATTTTAGGCTCAGGCAAGGGAGTGTCTCTTTGAAAAACTGGAGCTTCAATCGAAGGACAGCAGAAACGTCGATGTTTGTTTAGATCTTGCTCAAGAGGCAGCTCAGGTAAAAAAAAAAGGAAAAACTTTTCACAATTTTTCTGCGTCTTACAATTATCGAATATAATAAGTACAAGTGAATCATGAAGATGATTAATTCAGGTTGCGGCGATATACAATGACGTCCACGGATTAATATCACGCGAGCCAGTTCGTGATTACGTTCCGGAGACGTGGATCTCGTTGATACTAGTGAAGCGTGAACACCATCTTGCCCTCGCTCACAAGCATATTGCTGTTGGTTTGCTGGACAGACCAATCGCTGAATTTCGCGTGGAAACAAAGCTCACGTTGGAGCATATTCAAAAGAGCGATGGGAAAACTCAACTGGACGCAACTATTCCCAGAGATGACAACGAAAGGAAATTATTGGGTACATTTACGCGAAATTTGTTTAATGATATAAATGATATTGATTTAAAATACTAATAAATGATATTTTTACATCGCCATTTCTTCTTTCTATTTATTCTTAGTAAGGAACGTATATGAATAGAATTTCTTATTACAGGCAAAGCACATCTCAGAGAAGCTCTTGTTTTGCATGACGAGAGTCAACGGCTCCAGAGAATGTGCCGCGAACTGAAGGGTAAACAGGCTCTAGCGAAGGTTCTGAAAAAAGCTCAAGAAGCAACGCTTGAAAGTTATAATAGGTTCGGTAATGAGGATGATTTTCGAGAACTTCTGGATCCACCAGATATTATCGGTACACACACGAAGCTTTATAAAAAAACTTATTAATCAAAACATAATTAATTTTTGTCTCTTCCATTTCGATGAAAATAAATCATAATATCAAAATGTGTACTTTTTATTTTGTTCTTTTCTGTTTGCAAATGTAGCCTCGACAAAATTTCAACTTAGTATCACTCATCCCGATTTTGGGCAACACGGAGTGGACGACCTTTTCAAGTCGTTGGGACCTGTAGCGATATTTTCTGCCAAACGTCATTGGACCGCGCCGCGATTGATACAACTTCAAAGAGGCCCTGACGGCGAAGGTTTTGGATTTAGTGTACGAGGTGATGCTCCGGTGATAGTAGCAGCCGTCGATCATAATTCACTAGCGGATGTAAGATAATCTACTACCCCAATAAAAGACAACGGTTATAAAATTTTATGACTTGCATAAAATTTGTAATCTGCAATTATACGGATATATTTACAAAAATAAATGCAGAAACTCTGATTTTTTTTAAAATACTGATAAGCATTTGCTCAATTAATTTCGACATGGCATTTCGGCAAAATAATAATGATATAGCTCATTTGAGTAGCATATTTATCAAATTAAATTTAGAAAGAAATTGTCTAATAATTGAAAAAATATTTTATCTATATTTTAGAAAAATAATTGTGCTTATAAAAATGTACAATTATTTCTAAATTATAATGCAGAAATATTGCAACATAAAGTATGATACATTCAGCACTAAATTTAGTTTCAGCAGCAAAATTAAAAATTTTTAAGTCAAACGGCTTTTAGAATGCATATATGAGCTGATATTTTGGAAGTGTTTATCGAACACTTTCAGTTTGAAAATAATCGGATAAACGTGTTCTGATTTGTATTTGTTCAATATGTTACCGGCTTCTCCTTTCATTCTTGGAAGAAAATTAATTAAAAAATATTTACACGTTAAATTAGATTTATCAAATTTTTGATAAATATCATTTAGAAATTTTTATTTTAGATTTTTTATTCTGACAAAACTGTTGTGTTATGGCAAATTATCTTTGTCAGCGCAATTATTGCAAAATTATGGGTGGATGATGCCATTATTGTATAATATTTCCACAATTTATCTATCGGAGTCCTAACGTGATCCTCATTATCTAATATACTCACTTTTGGAAAAACATTTCGCTGAAATTATTCCATGTTTTAGAACATTTCACCGAAATTTCAGTATTTCAGACAAATTTCAGTTTAATTTCAGTGATTTTTAGAAAAATTTATTTTCAGCAAAATTTCAAAGAAATTTCAGCGATTTTTCAGTATGTTACCTGAAAAATTCACATTTAGTGAAATCTCAACAAATTTTCAGCGATGAAAATATTCTAAAAAACGAATAATTTCAGCGAAATGTTTTGCCCAGTTGTCTTCAACCTTTCTTTTTGTAATTATGTAATGCATTTAATTGCAATTACGATCATAAATACGTAATAATATTAATAATAACAAAACTTTTTTTTCAGGTGGGCGGAATGAAGGAAGGTGATTTCATAGTCGGCATCGGCGAAAAAGATGTTAAGTGGGCATCCCACGAGCAAGTCGTGCGGATGATAAAACAATGCGGTGACTTTATAAATTTGAAATTAGTGACCCCAATGGATAGGAATTATCTAAAGGTAAATGATAAAATTTGTAACTAATAATATTCCAATAAAAAATGTAATATGCAACACGTTAATTAAGATAAGAATACAGGGTAATTCGCTAAAGAATATAGGGTAAGATCGCCCAAAAGTACATATCGCTAAAGAGTACGCATTAAGCTTTACCCAGTAAATGAGGATGAATTGAAATGGATTGAAATTTTTTCTATTTGAATGCGTATTTTAAGTAAGAAAAATTATATTTTTAGATTCTATCAATTGAATTCAATTGGATTAAACTAGATTCAATTGGATTGAAAAACTGTATTTCCTATTCAGAATTTTGACTTGAGAAATATTCACGACGCATAAGAAAGAGCTATTATTTTTAGATTGTGAAAGGCATAAAAATGTGCTTCATAAAATCCCTATAAATAAATAAAAATTCATTTGGATTGAAAAAGAAATTTATTCTAATGTTCGCGAATGCGTATTTCTGAAAATTTTGACCCATTTTAATCCACGTTTTAATTGTTGTTTACTGGATACGGCACAACTATATTAGATCGTAACAGTTGTACTCACACAGAACATACCTTTTTGGTTAGCCAATCTGTAAAAGATACTTGTGATTGCAGTGAAATAATTTCACTATGATATCAGAAATCAGACACAATGGAATATACAGTTTTTGATAGGTTAAAATCGTTATTTCTATCGCTATCGCTATTTCTTCGCATTGTATCCGGAGCTTAAAGGAGATATATTAAATTTTGTGATTTTGATCATTTTCTTACTATATTTCACAAATAAATTGATTGGTTTTTACATTAATTTGTTACTTTATGAGTCTGTACCATTTATATTATGTGTATAAATACCTTTTTTGTATTTAGTGATATATTTACTTAATATTATATCTGTAATAATTTTTATACGGTTGCATTATTAAAAGTAAAAAGTGACATGATGTTCGCAAAAAGTACGCACTTGAAAACTTGATCGAGCCCGTAAGAAACAATGATACATGTATTTTGTAACGATTGTATTTGTAATCTAAATTCGGTGAAAATGGAATTCTGATCCCCTATTCTTGAAAAGTATCACCAGAGAGAAATCTAAAAGAGGACATGACAGTCTTTTTCCTGTAACTGTAAAATGCCCTCGCATACTACTGTACGTCCTTTGAAGAAGTGGATGTGAACTACATAGCAATATCTATTTTTTTGCGGTGCACCTGATGAGAATAAATCGCTGAAATTGTTGAAATCTCTATTAATTTGATAGATTTTATTTCATCGATTTATTTCTATTAAGAGCACCGCAAAAAGGAAATAGATATTGCTGTGTAGCTGTTTACATCCACTTCTTCAAAGGACAGTAGTACGCGGGGGCATTTTTTGGTTACAGGAAAAAAGCTCTCATGTCCTCTCTTAGGTTTCTCTCTGGTATCACATTCATAAAATTAGGAAAATACTATAGTGTACGTTACGTATACTATAGTATTTCCCTAGTTTTACGTATGCGATATTTTTCAAGAATAGGGGCCCTGGTACCAAAACAGCTGGCTCTAGGCCCATTATCGATTGCGCTGGGATATCGACCGTCGATCGAAAACTTATTTATGTGAACTCTGCACGTACAAATACTTCAGGTATTTATGAAAATTTATATTTAATTAAAAATGAAAGCTTTTCAATCAACATTGTTTTTTACAATAAGCGACACTTTTTTAATAGTGTGTACTCTCGAGAAGACACTTGCCCAAGAGTACGCATTTTTACCTTTAGGCCCAGTTGCACCAATGTTACTTTGACTTTAAGCGAGACTTAAAATGCTCTCTGTCTCGTTTTAAAGCTGAAAAAGAAATAGAGACAGGGAGAGATCTGAGAGTCTCGCTTAAAATCAAAGTAACGTTGGTGCAATCGGGTCTTAGTAAAATTAATTTCTTGTAATAATGAGTGTTTCTATCAAATTGATACTTGATCAATTTTTAGGTCAAACTATAAAGAATAGCTTTAAGTAGCATTTTATTACTGTTCAAACTCGGATTCTTATATATATATATATA